TACAATCACTTTAAGGTGAATACAAATGAGGAATTTTGACTTAGTAAATTCCACATCTTGGAGTACAGTACAGGGCATTTGAGGGGTACAGGAATTCTATTACAATAGGGATGCCAAAAATTATCTGACTGAGGGGAGGGCAGCAGCCATTGATTAGAGCATAAGATTTAAAAAACTGCCACTAGGTCACTGGTCAAAATCAGAAGAAAAAAAAAAAATCTATAACCCTAGAAACAGGAAAAGAAGTTTCATGAGAAAGGAAAGTGCTGCCTAGTCAAATAACCTATCTTGTAGAAAGTGAGCAAAGGTGGGGGTGCCTTGAACAGAATATTCCAAGAGATTAACAAGAGAAAACCTCCCAAGACTGTAAAGAACCCCAGGTAATCTAGCCCCAAAAACATCCTAAAAAGGAGAAAAAGAGCAAATGGAAGGATAGTGCTCACAACCCAACCATCAAAGCTTTCCACAATTAGCGTGCACCTTACAGTTGTCAGATAGCATTAGCAGTACAAAGACAGAATGTCACTTGAATGGAAAATTTATTTAAATGCTCCCTGAACTTATATGCATCCCAAGCACACAGCTCTCCTCATCTGTACAGACATCAGTCTGTGCGAGGCACAAGTTTAGATTTAGTTGCTTTATGAAAAGAACCTGTGCGTACGATGGATAGGTCCCATTTAAGAGCGTTTATTCATGATGACAGTTTGGCAGGATAAGGTCACCACCAAACAGAATGGAGAGCCTCTCCAGTAAAACTCAAATCAAACTAAAATCAGTAAAATCCCAAAAGGTGAGAACATCTCATTCCTTGTCAGCGTGGGTAACTGGTGCATCTGTTGTGGGAAGAAACCACCAATCTAAGACCTTCCTGTTAAAAAAAAAACAAAAAAGGAAGAGCTCTGACACACACACACACACACACACACTCACTTTTCTTGGCGTTTCCAGTTCTCAAAGGCACAATTCAAACACTAGAAGTAACGAGTAGGTCTTAGCATCTGAAGGAGTTCTGAAGACCCTAAGCCTGAACAGCAGACTGATCTATCAAATGCACGCTACATGAATCAGGTTTGCGACAACCCCTTGTAAACCAATAGTGCAAGGGCACAATATCAACCTCCCCAGGAGAGGACTAGATGTCCTCAAAAGGATCAGTAGCAGCCTCTGCCACAGATAGTGTCAATGAACTCTTAGGACCTCTATGAGCAGATTGTTTCAGTAACTGGACCGACAGACAAAAATCCACAGGTCGGGGCTTTACCTGACGGAGCTGCAGGAGACTTGAAGAGGACCCCAAAAACTATAGGCGCTTCAGGTTATAGACTGTGGGCTTTGGATCTTTCTGCTGATACTAGATAATGGAACCCAAAACCACTAGGGGATTATGGGCCAAAGTAATTTGTGGTAGTGGGACTGTCCTCTGCGTGTGTCAAAGTGTTGCTCTGACCACACCACAAACCTGAGCAGAAGCATCTGATGAGGGTCTCATGTGGCTGGAGGTGACCAAGTCACTGGCAATGGAGATTAACAGATCACTTAGCACTTTATAGCAGACAAAGTAGGATGATTTTTCTTCCATGCTGAATTGAAGAAAAGAGCACAGAGCATGCATAACAGTATTCCACTCAACGGGGGAATATCAACTTTCAAAGGTCCCAGGAGACTGCGGGAGAGGAAGGGGCTGAACTTCCAGCTCACTTTGGTGCGGCAAATTGAGCCGGAAGTGGGAGCGGGTACCTGTCAAAACCAGGTACCTGTTGCCCCCCAAAAAGGTGCCAAATATGGCAGTGTAGGGAGGGAGGAAGTAAATAAGCAGAGCTTCCACTTTTGAGTAGAACTTCGCTTTAAATTCAAGATCTTACATTTTGACATTATATATATATATATATATATATATATATACATAAAACAGGGTTATCATGTTTATTAAAGATCCTAATAGTAAATGAGGATAGGGTCTATAATGGTAGCCTAGAGATTACTGTATTTTGTCTTGGCCCCCTATCAGATTGGACTAAGCGGTCACAACAGCTCTGGCTTATAAACCAAGAAAGTAACAGGAAAACAGGATTGTCTAATGTCATAGTAGATCACTGCACCCAAATATCTGATAAAACAAAGGTTGACAGTGGGGACACAGGAAAACAGTGGGTGTAATTTTCATTACGTTTATGAAATGACAGCCCATGTACTCACATGATCACTTATAAACTTGTTCACATCCTGATCTTTTGACAAGAACTCCTTCCAGCTGAGTCCAGATTCTTGCCAGACTGCGCCCGCTTTCTTATGTGACTGCAATAAAAGAGCAAACAGTTCATATATTTACAATCCAACAAAGCTAATCTCTCAAAAGTATCCTAAAAAACAAGACTGATACTCACCATTCCTTTGCACTGTAGGCCTAGGATTTCTGCTAGGAGGATGCCAGCCTTTCCAAGTGGAATTAAAGGCTTTGTTAGCTCTCTGAAAAGACAACATATATAAGAAATGCAGCAAATTGAGCAAAAGATTAACAATTGTACAACATGCCATCCAAGATCCATTTGATTTTTACCTGAACAACTCTCCCATGGGGATTCCTTCTTCTAATAAGACTGGATTGATTAGCTCTGCCAGGTACAGCCAGATGTGCGGAATGTCAATTTCCATATCTTCCGCGACCTCCAGCACTTCTGACATTCTATAAATAAGGAAAGGGTGTTAACTGTGAAGTAGCTTTACAGCTTTGTCAGTGAAAATCTTAATGAATATAAAAGCCAAGTGATTAATTCTGTTACATTCACAATTCTTTAACCTACATATGCGCTTTTTGCATACTGGTTCCACAGCTGAAGAGAGCCCTAGCTTACATTGACCGACATGAAACGAGAAGGGAGACTTCTAGCAATCTAATCATACAGTATTTTAACGTGTAAAAAATGTGAATTGTAAGAGCAAAAAAAGTATGAGCAGCTGGCACAATGTGGCAAACCCTCTATTTCCACTACATAAAACACATAAGGTGCAGAGCTAAGGAACAAAACACAAAATAAATACGTGACTACTATTCACTTTCATGAAGTTCAATATTGCAGTGTTCAAATATAATCTGTGTCAATAACCAGAAATGAAAATGTCCAATATATTGTGTGAACCAATAGTGATCAATGATAAAAAAAAAAGGGGAGTTCTGTGACAATCCACTACTCCCCTTCGCCAGTCAGTTATCCATCCAGGGTGAGGTACCTCCTGGGGAAAGAGCGCACACACAGAGCCTCCTTGCTGTAGTGCTGTTCCCGATACCTTTCACATGTGTGGTTTGTTAGGTGATCACAGACAAACCACACGTGAAAAATCAGGAACAGCACTGCAGCAATGAGGCTCTGTGTGTGAGCTCTTTCCCCAGGAGGTACCTCACCCTGGATGGATCACTGACTGGATGGATGCATCCTTTAGAGTGATTTCCATTCAATGCCGTTTTGCTTCCTGCGAGTGCATATTGGTGGAGGATTGTCACAGAACTCACCTTTTATCATTGATGACTATCGGTTCACACAATATTTTGGACATTTTCACTGCTGGTCATTATTGACACAGATTATTTTTGGACACTGCAATATTAGACTTCATGAAAGTGAATAGTATTCACATATTTCTTATTTGGTTTTTGTTTATTCATTAGCGCTGCACCTTTATGTATATACAGTATTTTAAGGCTGCAGGTATGAGCTCTACCACTCTAATCAAAGGAGCCACTCTGTATGGGGTCCTGCCAACAAAAGGCCCACAGATTACCAATTCTGCTTACAGATCTGATAATGATTCTGAAGGGAAAGGTGAAGCACTCTTGACATGTGCAGTCAGATTCAACAGTCAAGACTGTGGTGACCCAAAAACCATGCATGACTGTGTTGAAGTTCTCCCTAGATATAGTGCAGAGGAGGGGCTATGCCATACCAAATGAAGAAGACAATGAATGAGAAAGATACAATTTCCAGTATTAAAAGGTGACTTAAAACGAACCTTTCATATTCCTGATGTGCCTCCTGTACCATGTACTGGTATGAAATAAATATCCAGTTCTCTTTGCATTGTTGCCTTTGTGTGAAATCAGTCCCTGCCATTCTTCTTTCCTATTAAAAACTGACCACACTAAGCAGAACACTGTGGTCACTTCTCTAGCTGTGCTGGAACTCAAGTGTGCTCCCCTCAAATGATCAAACGTATCCTGACACACCCTTACTGTACAGCATTCCACTGGGAAGCTCAGTGTGCTGTTGCTTCTCCTTTCCTAGCTCTTTTACAACAGAGAGAACAGAAGGAATGTGATCACTTATTTTTTATATCTATACAAATGTTTTGCCTTTCATTTCTATTTTACACTTAATGGGTTGTTTTACAAGGTGATCATTTACCATCACTTTAATCTTGAATGTTGTACGAAATATAACTTATGACACGTAACCTTAAATGGTACTTACCCTTTGTAGTACTGGCATCTGGACAAGGTACCGGCTTTAGCTAATGTATAAAGAAGGTGACCCATGTGTTCGCGGGATATGGTGCTTCTCTCCAAGGTTGACTCAATACCATTCCGTACAAAAATAAATAGCAGTGTGGGGCTATTTAGTTCTTGTACGCACTGGACAGCCTCCTGTAGACAGACAATGTGTTAGAAGATTCCAAAACAAGCGGACAAGCATATTTATCTTTGTCATGTAAATGTCCACTTCACCTTGATATCATTGATATGTAGAAACTCTTCTATGATTGATCGTGATTTTCTTTCAAGCTCTTCCTCAGACAAGACAGGTTTGGAGGAGGCAGCAGTGACAGCCACTGGTGTTGGAGTTTCTCGTTTGACTAAACAGACATAACAAAAGCGCTTATTGTAGTAAGCAGGGCTAACAAAGAGGAGCACATGCCACACATGACTATCACAAAAAGAAAATAAACTCTTCATTAATACTATACTTACGACTTTCTCGGCTGCGATCCCTTGGTTCAGTCATACTAGCTACTTTCCTCACGGCTTCCTGAGGAATCTGTGCCTCTCTCTCTCTACTGCGATCATCTGTCTCCTTGCTATAACTTCTCTTTGTGATTACAGGCTGGGAACGCTCTGAGCGATCAGATCTCTCAAAGAGATCACTCTTTTCATATCTGTCACTTCTATCAAATCGTTCTCTATCTTTCTCAGAGCGATCACGACTTGAACTACCTCTGCAAAAGACAAGTTATTAGATCAGTACATCCGTGCTAATTAAATATTTCCAAACATGCATTGAAGTATATATTTACATTTATTCATTTCAGTGAAGCTTAGAAACCTGCTTCTCTATTGTGCCAGTGAAAGGCCAACTGTACACATTAACCCCATCAGAAGTTATGGGCAACTGTACAAAATGTGTGATCTGGGCAAAAACACTATAAATTACCTAATTCATGAGTCCTAAAGTATTAAAAAGTAATCAAAAGGATTGTGGCTTGAAAAACCAAGTGCTAGAATACAGTTGGTTTCTGCCCCATCATGCATCCTCACCCGGCAGCAGACAGCCCTCTTCCTCCCATTAATGCAGCTCACCATGCTTCCCCACAGCTCATCATCCCTTCATGGTACAGCACATCTCTACAACTTCTCTCCCTTGCAGGTCAAACTGAAGCAAGCCATGCTCTAGCACAGTAGATATTCACAAATCATCTGCAGCTCACCATCCCTTCCTGCCATATTACATACTCTATGCACTCAACAACCCAAGGAATCGCATTCCCACCAGCGGACAACGAGCTGCCAGGAATGTGATCAAGTAGAGCAGGTGACCCATGGTGATGCATACCTTCTGATGCCACTGGCACAAAACAAAACTCCACTCTATCCCTCCAATGTAGCTGCCTGCTAAATGCGTGACTGGCATAAATGTCACATGATAGAACTGACCTAAACTCCATACAGCCTTAGACAGCCAGCAGGTTGAATCACCCACCAGTATCTTGAATTTCAGGCCTCAGGAGGTTCAGCATACCAATACTAACCCATAAGTCAAGCAATCTAGTTTCATTGTTGAAAGGGTGAACCCCTATAAAAATACGTCCTTACAAAATGGTGACACTTATACGTACTCTGATCTATTATTCTTACTGTTCAATCTGAAGTTGAAACCAAGTAAAATTAGCCATGTACTGCTGTGGATATGACAATCTACATACCTAGGAACAGGCCGCCTGGAATCCTGACTGTCTGCAGATGAAGACTGCTGAAGAGCAGAAAACCTATTAAGTGTGCTGGGTCGTCCAGATTCTGGAGCTGAAAAATAGGATAGTTCATGAGGACCAAAAAAAAAAAAAAAAAAAAAAAAAAAAAAAACTTCACAAAAGCGTTAACTTTATTTAGAACTCCTTAAAAAAGGAGATCTGGCTTACTTGACTCAGCAGGCTTCGCTCCAGTGCCGCCGCTGCTTCCTTTACCCCAACTTAAACGTCCGCCAGGCGCCAACAGTTGATTAGAGTCTATAGCACCAAGCTTTTTTTTAAAAAAAAAAAAAAAAAAAAAAAAGGCAGAGCCAACATTACTAAAAGACTTACAAAACAATATATCTGACAAAGAAAAGCCTTTTATTGGCATAAAACCTGCCCACCTTTGTTATTTTAGTGATCCTACTGGTGTCAATGGGACGGCTTCCTTTGCTAATGGGAACAGTGTTCCAGCCATCATCAGATTGCTGATTACTTCGTCCACCAGTTGGACGTCCTGGTGGCTCTCGCCTCTTGTCTTGTTTGGACATTAGCTGCTGAACCTTGACCTGTTCCCTTTGCTTTTCCAATTCTGCCTCTTTATGAATCTGATCTATAGTCTTAGGTCCCTGGTCTGCACGACGAGGCACCCAATTGCACTTAAGAGGGAAGAAAGAAAGAAATTGAAACATTGCAAGGACTGTCCCAATACTTAAAACATGAATCACAAACCAAACAGGTTGTCATGCAGTCACAAAAAATGTTATAGCCAGAAAGCACACTTTAACAGTTGTGATTTACAATGAAATCTTAAAATGTCCATAGTGTTCTTACCATTCTTAGATCAATTACATCCTGCAGCATGAAACGAATACGTGAAGAGGTTTTTCTTTCTTTGATGATTTTATCCATTTGGTTAAAATACTGATCCATCCGAGGCTGTTAGTGAAAAAAAGAAACAAAAAACAATTAAAGACTGCTGACAGGAGATGCTAAAGAGTAAACCAGGCTCATGTTAACCCCTTTATATGCAACCTCACTGAAATGGGTCATCTTTCGTGTGGTCGCATATGAGCATACTTTATTTGTGCCAAGAATGTGCTGCATATCTTGCTTGCTTCCAGCACAGAGAATGAGCCGCCATTGGCAGCTTCGGGTCACATACTAAAGATAAGGAGCTGGGGGGGGATCAGCTCTCAAATCACATGACCACTGTGACAGCCCGTGACTTGCTATCACACCATCCCTTTGTTATTTCTACTCATGGAGGAAAAAATATATTGCATCTTTTTCGCCTTGCTATACAAGTCTAAAAAGACAAAATGAGAAGATAAGTTCACCTTTTGGACAAAAATAATAAAATGCACATTTTTTTTGCATGTAAAAAAATGTGAATTTATTATTTTTTTCCAAAAAAGGAGCCTGTAAAGCACTGCACCAATGATCAGTATGCCATGCAGGTCTCCTGCAGACCTGTCAGAATGTCTACTAGCCGTACAGGATGTACGGCCAAGCAGATATTCAGGCAGGAAGCTTGAATGAACTACCATGTCGCTCCACAGCGCCGTGGTAGTGCATTGAAAACTACAAGCAGACAGCCGCTAAGGTTGCCGGACTTATAGGCACTCATTCAAAGAACTCTGAATGAGTGACACAGCTGTATGGGCGGAGCCCCACATGGCCATGCGGTTTTCAAATCGGACCGATAATATGGGGAGAAGTTTCCCCGTACTATCTGTCAGAGGGAAGGGAGGCGGCAGGGGCGACTATGGGAGCATGTTACAAGTGCCACCCTAAAAAACGGGTGGAACATATAACATGTTGCAAAGGTGAACTTATGCTTTAAAGATAAAATAGCTAGATCAGGGATTGATCGAGGTCAATGTTAAAAGGTTGCGGTCATGGACAGGGTCAAAAGGTAGGATTCAGGAAAAAAAAAAAAAAAAAGCTTTAGATAGGAGTTACTGTCAATGTATTTTATCTAGCAGTAGAACTTAGAGAAGGTGTGGACAAAGGATCAGATGACAGCCTTGCTAATCTGGGAAACAGTTGCCTGATGCAGAAAAGCCCAAGAGGAACTCACAGATGTGTTCGTGTGAACCTTGACAAGAAAGGGTTAAAACCCCATACTTAAGACTATAATCTTGAATGATCTGTCTGAGCTGCTGAAAGTAAACTGGCACAGCAAACTACATCAAGAGAATGCAAGGAAATAATATTCTGATGCACTGGAGCTAGACAGAGGAATGGAAGAACAATGTTCTGGTTTAGGTGAAAGTTTGAAACTACCTTAGGGGGGGAAAGAAGAAGGACCTAGGCCTCAATACCATCTTTTCCCCTTTAAGATCAGAGGTGGTTATTTACAGGACAAAGCCGCCAGCTTGGACACAAGGATCACAAAAGTGATTGCAACAAGGAACATAAGATTGTAAGGGCGGAAAGAGGAATATCCCCGATACTTTAAAAAAAGCAGTTTCTGGGGTGCCATGAGAACCAAATTCAGAGCTCATGGGGCTCACACACAGGTGCTCACATGGGGATCTTCATGAGATGCCCTGTAAAAAAGTCTTCATCTTTGGAATGGGAGGCTAGCAATCCTTAAAAAGGTCAAATCCCAGTGCTTGTGATCTTGTTTCATGGTATTCCAGGCCAAATGCTTATCCAGGCCTGATTGCAAAAAACGTCAAGGTTCGCCCTATGGAGTATTTGCTGGAATGAAAGCTTCTTTCCGCATGAAGCAAAGAATGCCTGCCATGTGTGATAGTAGACCTCATGAGAAGTAGACGTCATATATTTTAACAGTTTAGGAGTCACTGATTCAAATGGGCTCCGTCTCTCAAGGAGGATGGAAAGCTATTCCTTGGGACAGGTGATCTTGATGTCTGACAGAGCTGCTGTAGCATCTGCATGAAGCCTGATCAGTTCGGAGTACCATATACCCCTGGGCCAATCCAAAGCTATTGTGCAAGCATCACAAGCTGTACTGATCCCATGGAGCAACCAGAGTATCCACTGCTCCCACCTCTGTATTTGGGGACAAACCACATCTGGCATGCCCCACTTGTGACAAAAATCACGGAACAGCTCCGGAAGTAGAGCTCAGTTCCCCCAGATCCAGGTTGAGAAGTCAGCCTGAGAGTTCCGCCCAGCTCTAGGATGTAAACTGCAAACAAGACTGGAATATGAAGAATCTTTTCTGCCTCTATTGTTTTAGCAAGACTTATCCTCACCCCAATGGCTGATGTAAGCCACTGCTGTGGAATTGTCTGACTTAATCCAGATCAGAACACCCTTCAGTCACAAGGTCCAGTGCTGCAGGGATAACAGTCGCTCAAAGCTCCAGAATGTTAAATCAGGAGAAGTGATTCTTCTGGCAACCAATTAATCTGCACCAACAAGGTGTCCGATTCTCTTCCCATTCCTTTAGAAGATTCACAAGATATCTAGAGAAAGGATTCTCCTCAACTCAAGAGCTGGATACAAGAGACCCCATGTCAGACAACCTGGACTTCGGTTGTCAGACAAATCAGTTTGTCTAGAGACAGAAAAGGATTTTTCCCATAATGAGTGTTGAGTTTTAGAGTCTGGAATGGACCTGGGCAAATGGGATTGCCTTGAAGGAGGCTACCATGAGCTCCAGAGCGCTCATGACAAAGCAGAGGGTTGCACAACTCTTGGACTGAAGTTTGACTTGGGGGAAGAAAAATTCTAGCTTAAGCTGTGTCTAGGATAAGACTAAAGATACTCCAAGTGATGAGATGGCTCCAATGTTGACTACTGAAAGTTTGAAATCTAACAAACCTTCCTAAAGTCTGAACTATCCTCATGTTGTAGGCTTTGACCAACTGCTTCCTCTACAGGTCATCAAGATGTGGCATGCGCTGGGAACGTAGCAAGGCAAGCGTAAGAGTCGGCACTTTAGTGACCACTCATTGCACGGATGACAACCCAAATGGTAAGGTCACAATTTGAAAGTGCTGGGGTTCCAGAGCAAGGCGACATGTATGTTGATGTGCTGAAAAAACATGGGACATACAAGTCTGCATCCTTAATTCCCTGAAAAGTCAGAAAGTCTCCCTGATGGTGGGCAGCTATGAAAGACCTGGAGGTTTCCATGTGGTCTACATGGAATTTATGCATTTAAATGAAGGCATTTAGGACCTTGAGAGTCAAGATGGGTTTGACATCCCCTTTTGGTCTGGGAACAATGAAAAGGTTGGCGGAGAACCCCTGAAACCTTTTTGCTGTAGGAATTTGGGCAATAACCTCAAGATCTGCAGAGATCAGTCCCTGCAGACATAGATGGGCTAAAAGACATGAAGCAGAGAGGGAGCAGAGAGCAGGACTCTAGCTTGTAACCCCTTGGCAAAGATGTCCTGTACCAAGGGCAACCAGGATGCAGTCTGCAAAGGCTAACAAGACATCCTTCACTTTGAAAAGTGGGGGCATTCCTTCAAGCTAAAGAAGATTTGTCAGCCGGTTAGAACGATTTGCAGTTGAACTGGTCAGCTGGCTTGGGTCTGGCTTTGGGGGTTGAGGCCTGAGAGTAGCAAGAGGAACTCTATTTGGTTTCCTTGATCTCAGAAAGGAGATTAAAAAAAACTTCCCTGCCTGGAGCCTAGGTTTCTTCTGCAGTGGCAGAGCAGTACTCTCACCCCAGTGACATCCTTGATAAGGGTTGTTCAGGACAGCACCAAAGAGACTTTTTCCCTCAAAGGGCAGGCTCAGTAAATGCTATATATATGGGTTTAATGATGGGTAACTGATCTCCATGAGACATCTATTAGTACAAACACATTAAAAGGAATAAATGCTTATCAGATGCTGATATTTTCAAATAATTTGACTCACAAGGCCACTCCCTACCATTCTCTAAAAATTACGCGCACTCCTTAAATCTGTAGCATTACTTCTAAAAGCTGGCGTTGTCAAAATGACTGATCATACTCAAAAAAGAAAATATGAAACTTGTATGTGTATTCAGAAAAGCCTGGATGGAAATAGAGAGCTTAAATAAAAGATACAGACCTTGGCTCTTTCAAAGTCCAAGTCTTTCCCAATTGTGGACAGCAATCGGCAAAGACACTCTAAAGACTCCTCATCGTGGTTCTTTAATAGCTTAACAACACAATCATGCATTATGGCTTCAGTCAGCATTTTTAATTTGAAAAGTTCTCCAATGAATTTAATATTGCCTAGAGATCTACGCCTAGCAATATCTTTAGCTTCTGTCAGTTCATCATTTAGTCGAGTCTTCTCTTCTGGCTGCAGGTATAAAACAAAACAAATTGTAGATTTGGATGTAACAGTAAGCGTATTATAAATATGGATCCTGTAAAAACTGTACAGTTGTAATGCAAATCAACACAATTACCGTGGTAGCAGCATCTAATTCCTTTTGCTTTTTTTCAAACACTTCGTCATCATCCTTGTCCTTTTCAAACTCTTTCTGGCAGCGGTTAAGTAGCAGCTTGCGGAAGTTCACAGTCACTCCCGGCTTATCTGCAGTTGGGACTTTCAGCTAGAAAAAAAACAAAAAACTAGGCAATCAGAAAACATGCAGTAAAATACTTCAAAATTCTATATTCTAAAGTATGCAAACATTGTCATAGCTCTAACTTCCTACCAAATATCAAATCACTGAAGGGATCATTCCAGCTTTAACTAGGTTTACAACCAAAATGACCACTGTGAAGCAAATGTTGCACAGTAACTGAAGTTTTAGCAAGATATCCTGAACAAACAACCCATTAAGTACCAACATCCCTTGGCACAAGCCTTTCTAAAGCTGAGGCTAGGTTCACACCTATGCAGTTTGTGTTTGACCCATTTCTGCAGTGCGTTTTTGCACACTTTTTTTTTTACGTTTTGTGGGGGGTTTTTTTCTTCTTGTTGCAAGGCAGATTTAGAAACCCAAAATGCATAAAAATTGCACTACATGCGTTTCTGCAGCATTTCCATTGAAGTCTATAGAACCAAAAACACAACTTTTATTAAAAAAGTCCCTGACCCTTTCCAAAAAAAAAAAAAAAAAAAAAAAAAAAAAAAAAAAAAAATCACAGAAATGTGGCCCTGTCCCATAGGAAATCATGTTAAATGGACTGAAGTGCGTTTCTGCATAACACTGCGGAAAACGCTTAGGTGTGAACCTAGGGTGAAGTTCTTCATGAACACTAAGAATAAGACAGCCCTTTTTTGAGATGTCTACGTAAGCAGAAGCCGCTTTAAGATTGCTTCTTTTTTGTTTAACAATGTAAGAGTTAATGCCATCATATAGCAATCTAGACAATAAGATGGAAAAACAAATATCAATTTTAAAAGCTGTTAATAAAATTTAACTGGTGATAATTTATCCAAGATGGAGCAAAGAATCGGATATCCTAAATATACAGTACAGGACACAGGCTGGTTATTCATAGCTCCTGAGTTTCGAGTTGCTACTGTCAGGTGACGGGACCAGCAAAGCTTTTCTGGAAATGCCTCCAAAGGGCATGTCCCAAAGGCCTGCCAAAAACAGTCAAACCGACCACAGTATGGACTTTCCTTGAACTGGCGCAGCACCCCATTTTAACCACTTCCTTCCCGGGCCCAGTACAGGCGACAGCCTCCCGTCGCTACTAAAAGTAATGTAGTGGCAACTCCGCCGCTGAGACCACTTACAGTAGAAAGAATCGTTGGCTGAAAAAAACGAAAAAAAAACCAAAACACAATACTGGGGTTATGGCATATTGCTGCAGCCATAACCCCAGTATTCCATTCCCAACCAAGGAGATTATATATATATCTATATCTCTATCTATATATATATAAAAATAATTATACACGCTGGTTGGTGTATATGATGTTTTTTCATTTACAAATCATGCCTGCCTAGGTGAATGCAGCATCGGTTTGTAGCTGAATATGTCTGCTGCCGGCTCTAAGTGTGCGATCACATGATTGCTGATAGCCAGGTTCTCACTGCCGTTGTCAGCCACCACTGTCTGCTGAAAATGGGTCAATGGACTGCAGAACGAATGGCACTCCTGTGAGTACAGCCAAACAAGCTTTGGTCTATTTTGGTCACAGACCCTGCCATCTTAAACATCTTATTGTGCCTATAGAAGATGTTCCTTCATTTAAAAGAGAACTGCAGGATAAAAAAAAAACAAAAAACAAAAAAAAAAAACACACATATGTGGAGGCAGTATCGATCCAATGTTGCAGCTGTCCCCCGCCGGTTCTACACCAAGAACTGGGTGATCAAAACTACTCAGTTCTTAGTTCTGCTCAGAGTACACTTTGCTGAGAAATAATTTTGAAAAACACCTCCTGGCATTTTTGGCAGTGGCCAGGTAGTCATCTTGAGTAAGGGCAGATAATTCATGTAGCAGTTACTTCCTGGAATCCATTTGACTTTAGCTCTGGCAATGGCTGAGCTGAGAACCCTCCCTGCTGACTGAAATGTATGACATAACGGGGTTTATTTACTAAAGCTGGAGAGTCCAAAATCAGACTCCCTTCTGCATAGAAACCAATCAGCTTCCAGGTTTCATTGCCAAAGCTTCATTGAACAAGCTGAGGTTAGAAGCGGATTGGTTTCGATGCAGAAGGGAGTCTGATTTTGGACTCTCCAGCTTTAGTAAATAAACCCCAACTTGCCTAGGCCAAAAAAAAAAAACAAACAAACCAGGAAGTAAATGAAGGAATGCAAAAAAAAAAGTAAATATGATATACTTTCCTATTTACTAATGCTAGCAGCATAAGGATTAGAAATCGTACATGTTGATTGAGAGAGAGTGAAGTTCCGATTTAAACTTAAAAAGTGTATAAAGCGGTATAAAGCTCAACAGAATCTGCTTGCCTGTCATAACAGAATGCCATAACAGCTTGCCATAACAGCTTGCCATAACTCTTTAATCTAGGTTCCAAAGTGCACACTGTATGGGATGTATAATAAAAGCTTTAAAAGAAAACATTTCCTTTTAAGGCCCAGAAAACCAGAAAATACACCTTTTGGGGATTTTAGAACCTTTACTACATAAAAGGTGAGCGTATCAAATTGTGTCTAGACAATATTCCACAAAACTCAGACTCACCCCCATAAGGCAGCGGCACATATTGGCATATGCAACAGAGAAGTTTGGCTCCGAGATAGCTTTCTCAAATATTAGGTCAATTACACCCTTCAGCCGGTCCTCTGTATCTATGGCCAAGTCGGTAACTTGTTTCATGAGTTGCTGAAACATCTGCGGTGTCAGCTTATTAAGAATACTGCGTACTCTGCGAAACAATTCCTATACAAAAAAAAAAAAAAAAAAAGCCACTAGTTAGCACTGCTGTAATACTGGACAAGAGTTAAAAGAAAAAACAAAAAAAACAAACACACAATATCAAATATAGACAACTGTGCTTAAGGTTGAACTTTAGTCAGAAAAGTATGTCCTGCTAGAGCACATCAGGCTGACACATTAGAAATAAGTGCCTATATTGTTTAAATCATGTAACACAAGGTCACACTCTGCTCTGCACATGCTCAGACAATATTTTTCAGCACTGTGCTGAAAATGTAGAGGCCAATCTATTATAAGCCTAGAGGCTCTGGGGTTCAGCAAAATGGTAGCCCCCAGCAAGAGGAAACAAGAACAATGCTGGGTGCAGTTTACAGCACACACCAATTTCGGTAGCATAATTATTAATGCTGAATGGATGCTCCTTGCTAAAGAACATTATTGTTATCACAGCAAAGAAACATAAAAACCATATATTTCAGAGGAAATACCGATATAATCCATCAAACAAGTTTTATTTTACCTGAAAGTTACAATAAGCTTCCAAGAGCAATTTAGCATTTTACCTTTACAAAAGTGCTAAAAGCGAAGCCAATTAAATGTAACAATCTTAAATGGTTCTAAAGGAAGACAATAACACCAACTCACCTGTGTCTTCAGAACTTCTGGTTCATCTTCTTCACCTGGTCTTTTATTTAGTGGTTTCCAGGCTTTTTCTGCTTTATTCAGCTGAACATTTTCATTTAATGAAACAGCTGCAATAATTTTACGAGGCTCCTTTCGTGGTCCCTGTTGAGATCGTCGAGGACCCATTCCAGCAGGCTGCAGAAGAAACAGTGTAAGGGTTAAAGTACGTCTCTACTAAAAAGGTTCAGAACAACTGTGCAGCATAAAAAGGATCACTCCATTCTATCTTGATATGAAAATGTACTGAACAGAATTGCCAAGATGCCATCTGACACGGTTATATAGCTGAATTTGTTTTGTGAAATCTAGCATCAGATAAAGCAAAAAGGCACCCCAAGTTTCTTTATTCCTCCTAAACAAAAAAAAAAAAAAAAAAAAAAAAAAAAGGCACTTACTGGTCCCCGACTGCCCATAGTAGGTTTTCCAAGATTGGCGAAATGTGGTGTGAAGTCTGGCCCACAGTTCATGCCAGTCAATCTTGTTGGATCTAGAGGCCTAAGAGGAGTCTTGTTGGCCTTTTGAAAACATGAAATATAAGATTACAAAAAGGTGACACAAAATTTCTATCTCAAATTAGGCGAGTTAAAAGATACCTACCTTGTCTAATACTACATCTGTAATTTGTGGGAGACCTTCTGGTTTTTGCATACTAGCCACGATAAACTGAAAGCCAAGCAAAAACTCCCGATCATAGCTTTTCTTTTCTTCAGGGTTCAGAGGTTTCCATTGTTCTATTGGAAGATGCATCAAGTCAGAATCTAACCTTTCAAATCTGTGGACTAATAAAATTATAAGCGTGCATTGCTTGAATCTGGCTGGTTTTTTTGCAATAAACATTTTCTACTTGTAAACATTCTAATTAGCTCCACTGATGACAAAACTATATTTTTTTAACGTTACATTAAAACTCCATTGCTTGGAGTCTATTGGACACCAGAATTCAGAAAACAGTCAAGGTATACCAACGCTGACATCAGCAAACATGAAAAATTGTAAGCCAGCCCCTGTATAAACCCTCCTTTACCCAGAATTTCTCAGTTTTGAGGAAAATCAGTACCAAGTACCAAGCAAAGCACAGCACAGCGGTGAATAACAGAGTAGATTACTCTCAATTATAAATGATCCCCTTAGACTAGTCACAAATGGCCATAAAGACAAAACCGGTAAGAGGCAGAATCTACTATATCCCCATAGTATATTTTATTACACTGCTTAGCTTCTGCTTCAAACTCTATCCACAAAGTGGCATCCCAAAATTATTTACACATAACACTACTATGATGAACTCTCACTTAGTTACTGCGCAATGTAATTCAAGCATCAATTTATACAAAATATTTACAAAGGACTAAACATTTGTTTCAGATAGCAAATTACCAGTGGCGGACTGACATGTTGGCAAAGGTGCTGATGACTTACCCTCTTTATATTTATACTTATGATCTGCTGGCTTAATATTTTCAGCATCCAACTTATCTTCTTTTTCTTCCCAGGTCTCATCCTGTTCTTCTGCAGGAACATTGGGAGTCTGTTCAGGTTCAGGTGCTGCAGGAGGTGGGATAGCAGCAGACTCTGACGTTTCACTGGAGCCATCGCCAGCCTATGGGAGGTGAAAAAAAAATATGGAAACATAGAAATGTCACGCTCCCCAAACAATTAAAAGGAAAAAATTTTGTTCCTCAATTTAAAAACAATGCGATAGATTTTTGTAATATTTTTAGCGCAATACATTCAGCTACACACCCACATACAAAGAATCTAAAACAGACAAAAATATGAAAAATGCTATAGTAATTTATCAGTTTTGAGCAGCTACAATATCCACACTAATCGCTGTAAAACTGTAGTATTTATAAAAGATACAGCATCCTGCAGAATTATTTTAAGAAGCAGGGCACTGCAAAGATCTATTGAGGCTAATCAATTCAAAGCTGTCCAATTTTAACATCCTGCAAGCGATCCTAAAGTAAACCAGGTGGAACTGCAGCATCTTGTAGCTAAACAGAGGGGCACTGTAGAATCTTGCCGAAAATACTAGGGCTGCATTATGCAACATTTAGACAACACGTGGACTAATACAAGCCAATGGTGACACTATCACATAATCCAAAGGTGCTGTAATATCTCAGAGCACAGAATCTGTTGTCATTTCAGTAGTATGTGGAACTGCAGGATACTTCAAACAATCCAGAGAAAAGACAGTAAAAAGTTAAGAAAAAAAAAAAAAATAGAAGGCACACAATGTTATATACATTTATGGTAGAGACTGTAATGGAGTGTGTGTGTGGTTTGGTTTAAAGAGATATTAAACTCAAAATGAAAAATGTAATTTATTACAGCTAACCAGTCATTAAATGTGGTGGCTTACTCCTGTATTACAATGAACAAACAGATCATTCACCTCTTTAAACGCATCCAACAAATCTCCAACTGCATCTTTCTTGTTTAAATCTTTTATTTTTCTTTTCTTTTTTGGTACTGACACAGCAACTGTGGGAGACAGATGAAAAATTAACATACAGTGTGATATAAAACTGTAAACAAAGGACTTAAAATAGCCACCACTCAAAGGAATGCACTTCCGAAGAAACATAACAAAAATAAACGAACACGTCACTAAATTCAATGTATTGATGTGAGAACTTCAGTAGGTCATTAATAAATTAGGTTAACTATCCAGGGTACCAACAGAGCAGTCATTTAAGGCTTCTGACATACAGCTTATATCAGTGGCCTAATACAGAACCCAAAACCTGAACCTAGCACCACAAAATGAACTTTTTGTTTGTCTACCCAAGGATACAAAGTCAGATAGGCCTTACAGAGCCAACCTTAAAAAAAGGACACTACTAGCAGATACAGCATAAAATGTTATAAGCAAACACAGCATGCATCAAATCAGATGCATACCTAAGGAGTTAATTGGCATTTTAGTTTCTTGAGTCTTCATTGAAAGAGTGGTACTTATACACTTAGTGATAGGCTCTTTTTGATTATTATTATTATACAGAATTTATATAGCACCAACAGTTTGCTCAGCGCTTTACAATATAACGGGAGACAATACAGCAACAATACAGTTCAATACAAGAGGGTTAGGAGGGCCCTGCTCCTTGGAGCTTACAATCTAGAACAGCTATACTTCATGAATCGTACTCTAGTGTAAAAAGTATAAATCTTGCATGAGTAGACACCACAAGATGCCAGCTAATTCGTCATAAAAACCTATTCTTCCATGCCCCTTTGTGATTTAGTCTACTTTTTTTTTTTTTTTTTTTTTATGAGGTCACATAACTGTGCAACAGATCAGGTACCATGCATGTTCGCTGAGCCACACATGTGCAGCTCAGTGAACATGACAGCTGACAGGCAAGTTGAAGCCTTAATGGCAGAAGAGACCAAAAGGTAAGGTAAAATTGCGCCACAGTCAAGCAGGATAGCGTGCTCAAATGCAACTGCTAATCCTTATTCTTTATCTTCTGTGTACCCATATTACCATTAAGGCAGAACAAAAACAGACTCTCCACCCATTACCTCTCAAACATGTTCCTTTATTATATGCATAATATAAAACAGCATTCCTATTCTATTATCTGCTGTTTAATGGTAGCGGGCCTCCTAAAACAGAAATTATATACCCCATTTTCCTATCCCTCTTGTATTGAACTGTATTGTCTCCCGTTGTATTGTAAAGCGCTGAGCAAACTGTTGGCACTATATAAATCCTGTATAACAATTTTACTAAAAGCACAGTCCAGGGCATAAAAGTGACTAACAAAATTGTTGTGTAAGGTCAGAGTGCCATGGGCTTGTGATTTTAGTTATATTTCTGCTATAGCTATGGCCAGTAGTGTCACCAGCTTGTGCGCACCCGCCATTTTTGTGGTGGGGGAGCTGCACGTGGCGACGTCATGCGTCACCGTGAGGCTGCGCAGGCTTCCCGCACCGGGAATTCTTAAATTGAGACGGTCTGTGGCGGTCCTTAAGGCTATAATGGTGTGGCAACGCGGGCGGTTTTTGGACAGACCCTGGTGGGCGAGGTGGCTTTGGAGGCTTCAGTAACTGGTGGTTCTGGGACCATTTATGGTCGGTGTATCCTGCCTAATGGTACCAGGTACAGTGAAGCGCCTTTGATTATAGGGACATTTATGGGAATTCTTTGCCCCTAATTGGGCTGTGTCTATGGGATAATGCCGAATTATGGCTGTCTCTTTACAGATGGAATTTTGATTGAGTCTACCTGACCATTCTAACGCAAATACTGTCTCACTATATTTTTAAGAACTTTTTTTTCTCTTGTGGCTCACCCTCCATATAAGTAGGTAGGATTGTATACTTTTTTCCTTACCGCATATTAGATTGCACCAAATGCTATTCTGTGACAATTTAACGATTAAGCATCCCTCCTTTATGCCCCCTATTTGTGTCCTCTTTTAGAGATCTTCATATAAATCATACTAGTTGATTATTCATGGTTTTTGTGCGTATTCCATTTGGACCAGAACTGGTGATGTGACTGTACTATACCCCATACTATACCAGTTCCCTTCTGGTGTCTTTTTATATGTGCCCTACTCGGACCAGAATTGGTGACGCTAGTGCAACCCTATTAGTAAGGAGGTTAGTCTAAACTCTATATCTACATACTCCTAATTGTCGTCTAGGGGGTCTCCATCATGTTTCTTAACATGACGTCCATTTTCTATATACGTCAGGAAGCCTTTGGAGGGGTTGTCGCCTGCCTTCTTGGGTTATTGGGATTCCCCCCATTGACTGGCCCTGGTTGGGAGGTTCTGAGGTCCTCTTCCTTAGCCCCCACTCTAATGCCTGTGGATTAAGGTATGACCATTTACCCAATTGACCTGTATGATGAATATTGGTTAATACAAAATGTTTACAAATCTATACCATTTTTTATGTAGAAATGTAACTCCTGAAGAAGCGATACAATCACGAAACATGTTGAGTTACTACAGCCATTGATCTCAGAATATCTGTTTTCAAACCCTAACCAGGTCACGGTATACTTTTATTGTGGGATTTATTAATGCCATATGTACCTACAGAATTTGTAGCTGCAGAGTGTACAATTCCAATTATTGTGGGAGCACATTCTCTGCAGAGTATTTTAATAATTGTTGTACGTCTATGTATGTTCAATAAAGCAATAATTGTATTCATTACTGTTATAGTGCCTATAAAGTCCACCCAATGGCCTTTCTTCTTTTCCAATAGTTTGAACAGGACCTGGCACTTGGGAGCGTTGTATATATCCTCACAGTTCTCACCCTGTGTTGGATATCATATCCTTATAATCTGCTACAGGGGGGGTTTAAAATAGAAAAATATTTAAGCAATATACTTAAATATGTATAACGAGTTTAAATCAAACAGATCTTGCATTACCTGGCACATGGATATCGGAGCTTTGTTTTGGAGCTTGGGGAGGTGTTTGCTCCGGTTCTGCAGCAAGCTCTTTCCCAGCATCTTCTTCTTCTGGTGTAGGATCAGCAGCAGGTACTGGCTGCTCCTCAGGCTCAGTAATAGGGCTCACATGAGCTTCTCGCTCTATGTCCTGTGCATCAAGTTCTTGAAGTCCAGGCCCCCCTTCACCATTTGTTAGAAGTTCTTCAGGCTGCGCAATGGGGGAATCCATCGTGGGTTCAGAATGGCAAACAGATGGTGGCTCCAACTGTGCAGGTGGCACAGACACTTCTTCAGTTAGGCCATTGGTCTGAACTTCAGTTGTAGGCAGAGTATCCTCGAGGGAATTTGATCCCTCTACAGACTCTGGAGCAGGTTCCTTTGTTTCTGCAAGGCAAGGCTCAGGTGAATTTTGGGTTGGGGGAGCCTGTACCTGAAACTCTGCTTCTGGAGCCACTAAAATGGAATCCTGTTCTAAAGTGGAATCCTGTTCTAAAGTGGAATCCTGTTCTAAAGCAGCATCCTGTGAAACAGACACTTCAGATGGAGAAGTAATAACAGACTCCTCAGGGGGCTGTACAACAGGAGCTTCTGGCAGAGGGTCTGCTTCTTTGACAGCTGTCTCTGTAATGGTCATTTCCATTAGGACTGGGTTCTCTAAAACAGATGGAAGAACCTCTGGCTGTATCGATACCTGAGATGAAGGATTTTCCAGCAAGGGCACTTCCTGTGTAATGAGAGCCGCTAGCAAAGGTACCTCAGGTGTAGTGTTATTAAGTGTCAAGTCTTGCTCACAAGCCATGTTCAATTCTGTTTCTGTAGGAGGAGGAGAAGGAGGGGGCTTTCGGAACTTTTTGTGAGCACTTGGGTGTTCTTTGAGCTGTCATCTGTAAAGTAACAGAGCGGAAATTAAAGCAAAGACTTTCTTAGTAGGAACTAGATGACAATTTTATTACAAACGTGACTAGTCTCATTACAGAAATACAGTACATAGGTTCTTTACCGAAGCTAAAAGCAGTAAATACACCCCACCTAAGGGAAGGTATATCCCCCATCTATACAAGGTCTGTCCGTAAAGTATCCAACGGTGTAATATATAAAATTAGAGACATTTATTTATAAAGACAATGCTTTATAAAGAAACTTTAAAAGGGGATTGAGGCATCATTGTCCTATATACAAATAGTCACCTTGGGGCCTCACAAAAAAAAAAAAAAAATCTTGGGACACAATTTTTGGAATCCCCACATAAGCATCTAGTTCTTGCAGTCAGTCACCAAACCTGGTTGATTTTATGGCAGCCCATACACATTCAACATTCTCAGGTGTTCTGTATTTTGCTGGCCTTCCAGGAAGGACCATTCAAGCTGAACACAGAAATTGAAGCAGATTTGTTGCTCTGCAGTTATTCTGAATGTGATGATCACACAGTACACATGCTCAAAGTGTCTAGTGCCCCCACTAACTTGTACAATGAAGTAGTCATTGTTCACACATGCCCACTATCCTTGGCTGCCAGGTCACATCGATGTCGTGCAAACCTCTCCTTATATTAACAACAGGTGGACTTACTCCATAATAGCATGTAACAGTTTACTACAGATGCATAATCAGGAGCTCTTCTAGTTCACCAACCTTATGGTGGACGAGTATAGTAGTATTTAGCAAAGAGAATATCAATAAAGCTGGAATTTGGCCTTTATCTGTGTCCTTTCTGCAGACTATAAAAGGTGTCAACACAAGTAAAAAAGCTGCAATGGACAGTCACAAAATGTCAGGCCACCGGTTTGACAGTCAAAAGCCTTACTTTTACCATAATTATGCCAGGATGTAAATGTATGGACCCAATTCAAATCTGAAACAATCTCTTGAAAACTAGTTGAATAGCATGGTCCAATGCGGGAGGAGAAAAGTTTACAAATTGTTTTTGAAGAAAAAAATGTTCCCTCACGTTAGAGAAGGATTGCAAAATGCATGCACAATACTGGACAGAACTTTATTTCAAAACAGAAATAATGCAATTATTCAAACGTGCCATCAAGACCAATTAGTACGTACACATTAACCCACACACTTTTCTCCGGGGCCACCATACCTACGAATCGAAATCTCAAATCACAACTTGCATGTGTCTTACCTGGACGCACTACAATAGGCACATGGACACTCTCTCCATTCGCCTGCACTTCAGAGCCTCCAGTTACGGACTAAAAGGGAAAAGACATTGTCTAGATCAGTGTTTTTAAACTACAATTCAATTACAGACAGACAATCTCAAGGCACCCCATTCTAAAAAATGTAAAAAAAAAAATTCTAATAGTTTTACCTAATGCAGCAACACCCACACATGAAGGACACCCACTGTTAGAGGGGATTTATTCTTCCAATGCAAACACACTTTTGCACATGGATACTGAATAGGTTTCTCTTCTCCCTCATTTTCTCTCTATCACTCAACTAATTTGACCCCATTGCTGACAGAGGGACAGGGGAGGGTTAAACAAGGATGCCATGCAGGCGACAGAGGACATCCTCCTTATCAACTGATGGCATCATTGGTTGCTAGGACACCAGCAGGTAGAAGGCTGTAATGTTGCACAATGAAAACCTATGGCTTTGTGTAACTAAAAGGCAGGCTTGACCCACCTGCAGGTTTGTATACAAATTTTCAGGCATTTTGCTAAGGCACCCCTGAAGAAACTTCAAGGCACCCTGGTTGAAAAAGGCTGGCTTAGATTTTGTTTTTGCATGTATTGCAAATCTTCCTATTAAAAAGGACAACTGTACATCTGATTACAAGCAATATTTTAAATTGCAACTACGGAATAACCTATAAAACTTAACCAAGTCCTCAGTCTATGGTCTTTTCATAGCACCTTTTAACTCGACAAGTTATTTTGCTACGCAAACTAGACTACAAAAGTCTGTTGAGGAATCCACAGGGTATTTCTGTAAAACAAAGATACCAAGCAACTATCTGAAGAAACATTTTGCACGACTCAGAGTATAGTATAACATTCAGTGCCATCCAGTTACCTTGCCCAAACTTATTTTGCAGATTTACTAGAATACTACTAGATTTTTAGTCCAAACATATGCGGATGTCATTTATCTTTGCCCAGTGGCAAAGCTCATCTTTACAGCCCCGACCCAAAGGCATAACAGGGAGATACTTTATGAGAGCTGGATTCCATAACACCCATATTTGGTTGTCAGGTGAGGATATCTATTCAAAATAATTCATGAGATACACAAGATGCCAAAACATGATTTACCTTTGCCAGAAATAAAAAAAGAACGAACTACTAAGAAGCTGTTCTATAAGAACTGAGAACATACAATATACTAATCCAATAGCCTGCAACATAGTGGGAAATTGCTTTACCTGAGGCGGTGTTGGCGTGGATGAAGTTCTTCCTCCAGACAAGATTTCCTCTGTAACGTCTTTTCCGCCTTGATTTGGATCCCTGATCCTTATCTAATGAATGAATATTACAAAGGCTACATAAGTAGACTGTCGAGTTTTCTATTTAATGGTGGCCAAAATAAGGCAGATGATTCACAAAAAAAAATGAGATGGTGAGACTTCTGCACATATTTGAGCCCATGGTACACTAAATTTAAGATCATTTACAGATGTCACATCTGTACATGATCTTAGTCATGTACAGGAAAACTTTTTGCATATGCCTGTTTGCAGTTCTACACTTGTTCAGCATTATTAATCTTAAGGATGCTTGTTCCAATCCTCACAAGTTACTTGAATTAAGAGATTTGCAGCTATTGTTCTTTTATGCACCCCCCCCTCAAATATTTTTAGACTGTAATAAGTGATAAATTATTAGATTTAAAAAAACAAACAAACAAAAAAACAAATTTTGAGGCATCTTTTACACATGAAATTTTCCAAGATTGAAAAAGGTTTACGATAGGAATAAGAAAACACTTCCGGGACCCAGGGGCAACCACGTTGAGACTTAAAGCACATGGCGGTTCACAGATAAAAGGCAGCCACAGACATTTCCAAATACCAGGCACAGCAGACCAGAGCCATACAGGACAGCAGGAAACCCACTGAGGAAGCTTTAGCAGAGTTTCTAGAGCAGCTGTTTTACCAGGTTAATCTAAGCACTGACACAGCAAAGTACTTCTGAGAAAGAAATACATCACATGACTAAGCTAGGTATTACTTCACACAGCACCCTCCCTATATACGTCACCTCTAACTTTGTATAATGATCTAGAAATATTCTCAGAAAAATAGTCCAATCAACAGTTATGTGAAAGCAGACATTAGATAAAAGGAGAACGATATGAAGTCATGAAAATAATATTGTTAGAGAAGAAGATGGGTCTAAACAAAAAAAAAAGTGTGTAAGCCAAGGATAACCTTACGCAATATATGAAGGCTGCAAGCATTCTGCCAGATACATGAACACAAACTCATAAGTCCTGTCTGAAATGTCATGGGTGGTGTTCATCTGTAATTAGCATGAGTTTTCCTCATAAATTCCCCAGGCCTGAGTTGTATTCTAAGGCCACTTTTACAAGACTTGCTATGTGTTGCTCTGCTACACCCAAGAAAGTAATGTCAAAGCTGAGCACTAACAATATTAGTGTCACAATTAGATTTCCACAGAACTATTAAATCTACTCGGTCTTGCATTGTTTTCTGTGTAGGGTTATAACTCTAATCTACTCAGTACACACTTCCAGATCTAAACCCACAATAACCAGGACCTTTACTCCAGTGTATTCTTCCTCTAGCACACAGGGAGAAGTGGAGGTCCTAGGCTGCAAGAATTGCATGGCGAGCCCAGAACCAGTGCTCAACCCCTGATCCGGCACTGCTCAGAGTCTGTCCTTCATTACACTTCATGCTGCCAGTAATGATATACATTCCCTGCACTGTGCAAAAAAGCATGGGATAAATGTTCTAAGACTTGGGCAATTGCTTGGGCAGTGACACGATGCTACCTTAACCTCTTCACCGAACGCAAATGTGCAGCCTCCCAATGTCTGGGCCTAGACGCTGAGCGGCCGCACATTTGCGTTCTATTAAAAAAGAACATATGTGCCGAGAGCGTGCGCCCTGCACGCTCCCAGCACACATGTCCGGTATTTATGGAAAGGTCTCGATCTCTTTCGGTCGGGAACTTTCCCGATCATGTGACCCTATAAACCCCGCCTCCCGGCTTCTGAACCCTTAAAGGGCCGGGAGGTGCCAGCGCCTAGGGGTTAAGCAAGTTCCCTGAAGTAAGGTGCCTTGACAACTCAGCTCTATTGAGGTAAGTTTCAGAGTGTAACAAAACTAACTGCTTTAGCAACATAACAGCACTGGGAACATCAAATTCATCATACACATCAGCTGCATGGTGCATAATGCCACACTAGTACACTTAAACCTGCTACCCATTTCACTGTTCTTGTTCAAATTGCCGGCCATAGTACCTTTCACCTACAAACCCCCCCCTCCCTTATTCGCAATTCATAGTGCCTTCCACTCACCTTACCCCCCCTCCTGCTCCAGCAACTCCCACCACTAGACAATCTTCCTTTCTTAAATCCCACCCCTATCAAAACACCTCCCACCCACCATGCAGTTTATTCACTGGTGTGGTTGCTTAGAGACACTGCAAGTTTTTGGTTCTTTATACACTGCTCAAAAAAATTAAAGGAACACTTTGAAAACACATTAGATCTCAGTGGGGAAAAATATCATGCTGGATATCTATACTGATATGGACTGGGTAATGTGCTGGGAACACAAGGATACCCCATCATTTGATGGAAATGAAAATCATCCTACAGAGGACTGAATTCAAAGACCCCCCGAAAATCAAAGTGAAAAAATGATGCAGCAGGCTAGTCCATTTTGCTGAAATTTCATTGCAACAGCTCAAAATGGTACTCAGTAGTTTGTATGCCCATGTGCTTGTATTCATGCCTGATAAAATCAAGGCATGCTCCTAATGACAACTGATGGTATCCTGGGGTATTTTCTCCCAGATCTGGACCAGGGCATCACTGAGTTCCTAGACAGTCTGATGTGCAATCTGGCAGCGTCGGATAGATTGAAACATATTGGATTTAGGTCAGGCGAGCGTGGGGTGGCATTCAATGGTATCAATTCCTTCATCCTCCAGGAACTGCCTGCATACTCTCACCACATGAGGCTGGGCATTGTCGTGCACCAGGAGAAACCCAGGACCCACTGCACCAGCGTAGGGTCTGACAATGGGTCCAAAACTTTCATCCCAATACCCAATGGCAGTCAGGGTGCCATTGTTTAGCCTGTAGAGGTCTGTGCGTCCCTCCATGGATATGCCTCCCCAAACCATCACTGACCCGCCACCAAAATGGTCATGCAGAGCAATGTTACAAACAGCATAACATTCTCCAGCTTCTCCAGACCCCATCACGCCTGTCAAATGTGCTCTGAGTGAACCTGCTCTCAATCTGTGAAAAGCACAGGGCACCAGTGGCGGACCTGCCAAGTCTGGTGTTCAATGGCAAATGCCAATCAAGCTCTATGGTACCAGGCACTGGGCACACTAGAGGACATCGGGCCCTCAGGCCACCTTCATGAAGTCTGTTTCTGATTGTTTGGTCAGACATTCACACCAGTGACCTGCTGGAGGTCATTTTGCAAGGCTGTGGCAGTGCACATCCTGTTCCTAATTGCACAAAGGAGCAGATACTGGTCCTGCTGATGAGTTAAAGACCTTCTATGGCCCTGTCCAGCTCTCCTAGAGTAACTGCCTGCCTCCTAGAATCTCCTCCATGCTCTTGAGACTGTGCTCGGAGACACAGCAAACCTTCTGGCAATGGCACGTATTGATGTGCCAACCTGGAGGAGTTGGAATGCCTGTGCAACCTCTATAGGGTCCAGATATCGCCTCATGCTACCAATACTGACACTGACCCTAGCCAAACTAGAGAAAATTAGTCAGAAAAGAGGAGTAAGGAAAAAAATGTCAGAGGCCTCCACCTGTAAAACCATTCCTGTTTGGGGGCTGTCTCATTGGTTCCCATCTAGTGAACCTGTTAATTTTATTAACACCAAAGCAGCTGAAACTGATTAACAACACCCTCTGCTACTTAACTGACCAGATCAATATCCCCAGGAGATTGACTTGATGCTATACTTTGATTAAAAAGTTTTCCTTTAATTTTTTTTGAGCAGTGTATTTTGACTTTATTATATGCTGTGATTCTGAACACATTGCTGTTTTATGTAACCACACTTTTATTATATAAAAAGATGCCTTACGGGCGATATGTGAGCCTTGCTGTGTATTCAGAATATATTATTGAAAAAATCTGCCACTCAACCTACCCCTCACAACAGCACCTGTCAACTACCTCACCCAAATCCCACTACTGGGAGGTAAAGAATGAAGAGCACCTGGATTTTACTCTTTCTTGTGTACCTCCGATAAGCAAATTATAGCATCACTAAATGCCAAAGAAATAAACAAGGCCAGAAGAAAGTGGTGAATGCAGCAATGAAAAATAGTAAGCTGTAAAAGGAAACAACATTTACGCTATAGATCTCAAACTTACAGTTTTTCGTTCTCGCTTTGGAGGAATTGACTGATTAATCATCACCTGGGCACCGGGCACCCCTGGAGGAAACTGCTGTTGTGCAGGATAATATGCTCCAGCTGAATAAAGCAAAAAATTCAGTTAAAAAAAAAAAAAATATATATATATATCTTCTAAAACAATTTTATTTGGGAGCAGAATGAATGCACTGCCTACAAATGTTCCTGCTTATGTTTGTTAGACACATACATCTCTAAACCTCCACTTATCACTACTCTCTAGACTAACGCTATCTAAATCTGGTTCCTAAGCGCTGGGATATTAGCATACTTTTTGCCGTTCTAAACTTAACAGACAGCAGTGAAGGACGTAAAGTGTAGTTTACAAGTAAAATGACCATCTATTCAAAAACCCAGGCCTGAATGCAAACCTTGAAGGCTGCAGTTAACACATAACTGATCTGGTATACAATTGCAAAAAACTACAGCTTTAATAAGATTACCTCCCCTCTTTTTTCACTTGCTGAACCCGAAAAACCCCTTAATCTAAAGTTGTCAAACTTACAAGATGACTCTGTTGTGCAGGTCACCGCTGCCCCCACTCATACCGAGCCTCTTTGCTACATCGCAGCTACACTGAACTAAATATAGTCAACTCCTGATCATATAAACATCGTGAAGGGGGAGGTGTGGAGAGCAACTAGACAGATTGCACAGCTACAGTACCTATGACAGGAAAAAAAAAAAAAAAAAAAAAAAAAAAAAAAAAAAAAAAAGCGGCTAGCCCTAAAAACCAGATCCCAAAGATGAAATACACAACTTCAAATATCTAAGCAAAAAATGTTTTGCTATTAATTTCATGTCTGTACTGACGGGGAAAAAAAACAAAAAAAAACAACAAAACTGTCTTACTCACCATATGTGCCGTACTCTGTAGGACTAGCGCTAGGAAAAAAGCCAGCAGCTCCAGGTTGCACAGGGTACTGCTGTGTGGGCATTACATAAGAGCGACCCTGCAAAAGAAAAAACAAGATGTAATATAAAGAAAAAAATAAAAACACAACACTTTGAGCAGTGAGGAGGAACTAAATCTAGCTATAACTTAATTTGGTGTTGCTGACGCTTACCTGTCCACCTTGTATATAGTAGCCCTGGGAAGGATAGGGTAACTGTGAGGGAATCATCATAACTTGAGAACCAGCGGGATACACATGGGCAGGAGGCACTGCTCGAGCAGAAGCTGTGCTCTGGACTCTGGCGGCGTTGCTAGGAGGTTGCGTTCTGCTCTGGTAGTAGTGCTGAAGTGGGAGGGTGACAATTGGTAAAACTTAAAACCAAATGTCACAACTTAAAATCTGTTGTACAAGTTAAATGTGCATACCAAACCCCGAGACAGTTACTAAAATTGTATTGTATAAGGATGGAAGTCTTCTCTTGTTTCTAGACAGCCCAACTAGCATAAAAGGGGAAGTACCAACCAGGGTGGGGCAGTACTACTGTTCTGTATCTTAGCAAAATTATACATATAACCCATGGTCTATGATTACAAGATATATATATATATATATATATATATATATATATATTTCTTTTTTTTTATTGGCACCAACAGGAGAAGAGACAAAAAAGTACTAAAGTTCAAAAAGACAGAAGAATAAAAGTTGCAGGTGTTGATAGTAGCTAAAAGGCAAGGCATCACCAAAAAGGATGAAAGCTCATGTGGTCCACCAAAACAGTCTGGCATATGTGATAAGGTATAAAGCAGCATACAATGTGCCATATTGAATAACAAATAAGGATTCACATTCCACTGATCTGAATGTGGAAAACAAATTTCATTGGTTTATGTATTGCCACAGTTTGGTAAACTTTCTTTGACATAAGGGCTTTAATCAACAAAGATTTCTGGCTCCTTGAGGAACCCACCGCAATGGAAAAGGGAGAGAGAGAGCATAGCTCTAAATAGCAAGCTTAAAGTGGAATTCTGGGCTAAAGCTCCCAACCCCCTTCTAACATCTATACTAGCTACCCTTTGGAAGAAAGATCTGTGTATCTACTTCCTATTTACAAGCGGATCCTGTCCGATAGTCTCCCCTGTGTCAGCTAGCAGCAGCTTCAGGTGAGAGCAGGAAACACCAACAGATGGCCCATAGTAAGCCCAAGGGTGACATCAACACTCAGTCTTTCCAGCCATTTGAGTGCTCTCTCCTCTCCCCTGCATTTGGCACTGGATGACAGAGGAGATTCTCGTAACTGGACCAGCCTGAAGTTAAAGTGTTACTAAACCCGCAACAGTAAAAACCAGTCTGCTTATTCAGTAACGCATGCTTATTATACTCACTGTGGAACCTTAGAGGGTTAATCCTCCGCACTGTGTAAAAATGCTGTTTGATCCTGACTTCTCTGATCCTCCCCTGATTCCAGTGCCCCCCTCTTATCTCCTAAGACATAACTGTGGAGACACACTGCACAGTTTGGTGTGTATTGGAAGAGTGCATGTGATTAGCACAGGGCCAATCGGCACTGGTCAGAGGTCAGGGGTTCTGCATCCTCAGAGCAGAAAGAAAGCTCCTCCTACAAGCTTTAACCAGTGCTCTGCTTAACACTGATAGAAGTCACAAGACTGCTCTAACTGCTGATGAGAAAAAGGTATTTAGCAGTTTATATTTACTAAAATAATTGCACTTCCATTTAGTGTGTACTGTGGGACACCAGAGTAAATACAGGCTTCTGTATTTATTAACACTAAGTTTCTTTCTTACACAGGTTAGTTAGTTTAGGTATTAGAAGGGACAGGAGCAGTTTTAAGATTAGTTCACTTTAGCCCAGAATTCCACTTTACGGCAGTCACACATTTCCATTGCAAATAGGAATTTCTGTATAAGATGCCAAAAAGAAATTTTCCATGTTGCCACTGATAACCTCTTCCAGGAAATACTAGAAGTCACTAAATAGAAAAAAAAAAAAAAAAGGTCATGCGGATTAGACAGTTTTCACTTCCTGCATGACTCAGCACTGAGGCCACAAACATCCAATCAATTATCAAAATGTCTACACTACACATCTTTCATGACAACTTTCCTTTATCCAGTGTGGCCTGTATTGCCAAACTACATAGCAATAGAGATTCCACAGTACTGTCCAGCAATTAATGTATAGTAAAACAATGTGAAGGGTTACCTGAATTGATCTGAATCCTGCCTGTTAGAAGCAGCAGAAACAAGAAGTAGAGAGTGGAAGGAGACAAATGTGAAAAATTACACAAGAGGGGGTGGGGGGGGGGGGGGTCATCAACAGAGGCGAATAAATGAGCAAGAAAGTAGCCTTGTTAATAGAACATATGCCACCAAAACAGAAAATTCAAAGTTACCAGAGCTCAGAAAAAGGGCCAGAATCATATACACATTGCAAAGCCAACAGGTGTTAAGTATGTTAAGTATACATCAAGAAAAGCATTGTGCATAGTTGACTGCAAAATCTCGACTTCCCAATAGTTGCTCCTCTTTTAGGGAAATATTGTCATGTGCTCAAATTCATATGGCTATTCACTAACACTACTACCCATTTAATAAATGCTGTAAAGGTGGAAAACATCTCTAATATAGCAGGGAAATATTTGCCATTTAAGATATCCCAATTAGATGTTTGTTTTGGATGCGATTCTCCTCACTCTTTCCAAGCAGGGAAGTACAAAATTGCCAACTGAAGGTCAGGAAACAGACGTTTCCATCAATAACAACCGAGAACAAGCTAAACTGAAAATACTTATATATATATATATATATATATATATATATATATATATATATATATAGTGAGGTTATGTATCCAAATAAGAGGAAGGGTTAAGAATCAACAGCCCTTAAGAGTAGCCATCCCCCCTTTTTCAAGGGACCAAAAGTAATTGGACAATTGAATCAAAAGCTGTTTCATGGCCAGGTGTGGGCTACTCCTTTATATTGCTGTGAACCTACATCATATGTTCAAAGGAGCTGTCCATGCAAGTGAAACAGGCCACTGTAAGGCTTCAACAACTAAACAAATCCATCAGAAAGCAGCAACATCAGGAGTGGCCAAATCAAGTTTGGTAAATTCTGAGGAAAGAAGAACTAAAAATTGTACTGTGTATGTATACACACACACATACACTTTGTTAATTTGTATTTAAAGGAGGTCATTTATAGGGCTAGTTCAGCCCTGTGTCTGCAGCTCTAGCTCATAGTGTAGATATAAAGATTCTGCAACCTCAAATCACCAGCAGAGGTCTAATTCATAGGAATATAAACTACCGTAAAAGCCACATGAACACAGACTAGGGTAAAAATCTTACACAGTAAATTTAACATGATTGCTCAAGTAATTTCAAGTACCCACTTTGTGCAGAGTCCATATTATAAAAGAGCATGATAACCACCAAACAGTTGTGCTAAATGCTCTGTTAACCATAACCCAGTTAGTGTCCATGAGGACCAAATGCAGTACAAATTCAGGTGGTCATTGTGTGTATTTCTAACCACACTAATTATTGCCTTTGTGAAGCACAATCCTGTGTAAGAATTCAGTGCTTTTTACATGTGTGGGCATCATTTAAATACGGATACTTGCACAAAATGTTCTGAATACATACAAGAACAGGTATTTTAAGTATTATTTTGTGGCTAATGTTTTAGATCTCTTACCTGTCGAGGCTGTGATTGTGTATTCATTTGTGGGGTCTGTGGAGGCCCAAACACACCACAGGGGCAGTAGGTGTGGGGAAAGGCTGAGAAGAAAAAAAAAAAACAAAAACAACATTTAGTGATCATTAATACACCGAGGAAATAAGTGTCACAACTATAAGGGAGCCATTAATCAATGAATGACAGACACAGAGGAGAGTTTCCGAGCGCCTAGGTAGTCAGAGCAGAAGTCGGTACCCGTCAAAATCGGGAACTCCCACCTGCTCCCCAAAGGCTCACTTTTGTTTACCAGGAGCGGAGGAGCAGGCCTTAAAGCAGAACTTCCCCATTTAGAGCTCTGCTTTAAGACTGGTTGTCTTTTTCATCGAAGCAATGGTGTATCTTAAACCAGGATGTCCCTTTTGAGGTCCTGAGGGTCCTTATAAAAGCAGTAGCTGCGGAGTAGACATTTATGGCTACGACCCCCTTCACACAGTGAAGAGCAACCTCCTTTGAGTGCTTTGGAGCAGGGCACAAAGAGGGAAGGAGTAGGTCTACAACAAGGTGAAAAACAATCACCGATAATGAGCACTATTGGTGTTGAGCCAAAAATTGGGTGTAATCATGATCGGTAAAGCAAAACAGAATGGCACTAATAATGTCAATGCTATCCAAGATAAAAATAAAAGCATTTTATTAATCACTTTAAAAGTTAATAAAAACATGAACCAAAGTTCTGTACTCAATGCGGATCAAAGAAAAAGAGGTGTAGCCCGTATGTCATATTGTAAGCAATAAAACTGGCTTATTTCTGAAGATATAGGATGTGCTGGACCAAGGCACAGGAGGCAGTGATGGAGCGCTCAATATGGTGTGTGGGTCACCAGCTGTTAGATGGTGGTAATCACTGTAGCAGGATGTAACTAAACTACCGCTCTTATCTGCTTGATTATGATGGATCTATTGGATCCAGATCCCCAGTGCTTCCTGGTTGCTTAATGACTGACAAAGCACGAGTCTCTGAGAAACACGTCATCATAGCAACTAGGACTTGTTGTGTTCAGCCCCATGCATTTTGGCTCTTTAGTCTGACGATCAGCGATCTTCTGCCGGTTTCTGCGCTCCATTGAGTCACTTCTGGTGTGTGAGTTTCGGGGACACTCAAGAGGCTGCAACCTGTTGCAGTGTTACCTCCATCTTAGAGCTAGTGAACCACACACCATGTTGAGCAGTCCACAGGATTTCTCCATCACTGCCTCCTGTACCCTGGTCGGGCACATCCTATGTGCCCTGAACCTGTAAAGAACCCTGTGGCAAACGACACACATTGTGCCAAGTGTCAAGGTGCCTGCCCAAACAGGATCCAGTGCCCAAAGTACAAACCAGGTATGGCTCCCAGGGTTTTACAAACATTACACCAATCTGAATACAATATTTCTATTGCTGTAACAGAAGAGAGTGAAGTGTCGATTGAAGAATTGGAAGTAAAATAATAAGCCAGGTAAGCCAAGAGCGATTTCTCTAAAGGAGCAGAGGTGCATGACCTCAGGACACTAGCACACAAAAAAAAAAAAAAAAAAAAAAAAGAAAAAAAAAAAAAAAAAAAAAGAGGACTCAGAGCGGGAATGGGTATCAGTGTCCTCAAAGCTTTGCCAGTGGTCCAATGACCTGAAGGTACCAGCCTATAACCCAGGGTCTATGAATATCAAGATTGCGTCCTGTACTGTACAATTAAGATAATGCGATTCTGTCAATAGCATTGACACTAGGATATTTTTTTTCTTAATGCTGTCAGGATTTTGCCAGCAAAGACTTTCCCTCTTGTCTCAACTTGCTACCAGAATGTGAAGGGAAAAGAAACCTTTCCTGTGAAATAAAAAAAAAAAAAAATAGTTTGGAAATGTAAAAACTGGTATATATACCTGTGGGAGTCCAGGGGAAGGGGCAGTAGGGGGTCCTCCTATAGGCTGAGTAGCTTTGCTCATCTCATGTGCTGCTGCATAGGGTCCCCCGTAAGGTCTATAAAGACAAAATATATACATATTTAAAGCCAATCATTGAAGCCCCTAGTTGTGTTAAACACCCTTCATGTGCGAGCCCCCTGGTTGCCGCCAAAAGCACAACCTAGCTACCTGCTTGTATCACAAACTGTTCTAAAATGAAAACATCGACCATAGTTCCAGGATGCCACACTTATTAGCTGCCCATCATAGTGTTGGGCAAAAAGAGCATTGCATAATGGTTGAAGGAGATGGGGCCCAGTTCTCAACTTGAAAGCACATTTTATTTTAATTCTGAAACATACCTAACAGTATATCAACCTTTTCTTGGCTCCCTCTGCTATAAAGTTGGAAATAAATCGAAACAGCAGTGGCCTGAAGTTTACTGCATGTTATCCGATACCAATTCACCAGGAATATAAGATGTAAAAACATGCACATTACACAGTTGAGAATAAAGTACAAGATATTTCTAAAGCAGGCCGTAGATTGGAAAAACAAAAAATTATAATTTTTGGTTGTTCGTTTTTCGCATCAGTGTGCCAGTTGTGGCACGATTTTTGTGTCGCAATCAAAAGTGCCTTATCCAACATGCTGGATTTTGTTTTTAAAAAATAAATTATGGCACAACTGTATGTGCCATTTTTGTTTTTTTAGATCAACAGAGCGTTTGGTTTTCTATTCTTCTATGACCTGCCTAAGAACTGCAGCTAAATTTTACCCTGATGAGCCCTGAGAATATCTTGTATAATGCCTACACATCGCAAAAAACAAAAACAAGTGTATAATAGTCTGCATCAAACAAAACTATTTAGGGATGCACCGATATATTGGCCGGAAAGTGTTATCGGCATTTCGCCAATAGGACTTTAATGCAAAAATGCCCCCCCCCCCCCCCCCCTAGTGACTTCAATGCAAAATCGCATCTCAGGATTTCATGTAAAGTCAGGCCCCCATTGACTTCAATGCAAAATCATGCCTCATAAGACTTTCATGCACAATCGTGTCCCCATTGACTTCAATCTAAAATGCCCCTTGGTGACTTCAATGCAAAATTGCCAGCCACATTAATTAACCACTTCACAACTGCGATATAGCCGAATGACGGTTACAGCGCGGTTCTCCAGTTCTGGGAGGGCGTCATATGACGCCCTCCCGCACGCCGCCACCAGCGCTCTCCATGATCACTGTGTCCTACAAACACAGCTGATCACATGATGAGGTAAAAGGCCAATTGGAAAAACTTTCCTCACACTGTGAAGTACTGCCGATAACCGGTAAACATCAGAGCAGATCAGCACTGATGAGCAGTGTCATCCACCAGTGGCCAGCAGTTGCTCCAGTCAGTGCCCATCATAACTGCACATCAGTACAGCAGCATCAGTGCCTCCTCAATGCCCACTAGAGCCACCTCGTCAGTGCCTCCTCATTAAACGCACATCAGTGAAGGAGAAAAGTTATCTGTTTGCAAAATTTTATAACAGAAACAAAGAAAAACTTTTGCCATCACAAGCCATTTGATGGTTAAAAAGAACCCTATCTAAATGCTGTATTACATGCTGTTCATACTCATGCAGTCAATAATGGATTCATTTTCTGTATTCTGCAAAAAAAAAAAAAAAAAAAAACCTGGTTGATCCTGCTGTTCTCTATCTCCACCTTCTGTTCAAGTTCCTGATTAAGGGATTGCAACTGTAGTGGCAACTCTGCACATGCTCAGTTTTCAGTGAGTTTATATTCTGATCATTTCCTCCCTATCATAATTGAGCAGCCCATGTGACTATAGAGTCATGCATGTAGGTGTATACGGTGGTAAATGAAAGCCCACTCCCTCCCTCCTCATCCATCCCCACTAACCAGCTAAACACAATGGGGGAGGGATAATACATGCAGTTTAATGGAGGAATCACCTCCCTTTTATTCTAAGACACAGGCTGGCAGAAATCCACCCACAGCATGTTATTTCCACAAAATAATAAAAATGTGATTTCAAAAATATTTGTATACAAATTTAAAACAGTTTATTGATTTTACTTATTTATTTTTACTCTGTATCACAAAAGCGGTTTAATTTTTTACTTTGAACATGTGACCAGCAGCAGAGGACTAGAAGCTCCTCTTGCTTATGTTTCCCCGTAGACAGGCTGGGAAAGATCTGGGTCATGTGACAGCTGTATATAGGATTAAGAAAAAGGTACTTAAGATTTTTTTTTATTAAAATAATTACAGTACCATCATCCTCATACAGAAATATAAGGGACAATGTAAGTTAGACAGTGTGTGTTTTAGTATCACTTGGCTGGTGATGTCACTTCCATGCATGCACAGGACTACAGCCATCCAAGCACACAAGCAGTGTGTTGAAATGTAAATTGAGCTGTGCATGTGCAGCTCAGTGTACATTCTACAGGGGACAGGCAGGCAAGTATTTTATTCCAGACATTGCTTCTATAACCTTTTGTCTTCAGCTTGTTCAGTTAAGCTGTGCATATGAAAAATAGAAACTGACTGGTTGCTAAGTTCAGCAACTCCAGATTCTGGGTATTACAATTTTGATACATTCCCCTCAATGTTTATAAAACATCTCACATTATTTAAATAAAGCTTGTATTTTACATGGCTGTCCATAACAATGAAAGTGCTATAAATTCTAATTAAGATGTAAATGCAGACTATTTTTCAGTAGGTTTGACACATCTAAGCGTAGTTTCCTCAAGTTTCCTTAACCTTTAGTTATACTTTTTTGTTTTACATTTCTTCAGTTACTTGGTTGTTTCAATGTTTAGGCAAACAAAGTCATACATCATGAGTCTTAAGTCCTGCCTGCATGCCTGGGCAGATGGATTCCAGGAAATAATTTCTACATGAATCATCTGCCCTTAGTCAAGATGGCCACGGCCAGAAATGCTAGGGTCAGCTTTTCAACATGATTCCTCAGCAAAATAAAGCACAGAGACATGGATGGATGAGCGAGTTTGCTTTGAATCGCAAAAATGAATTAAATAGCGTTTTTGGTTTGTGGTGCTCAGATTCAGTAAAGTTTTTATATTTTGAGGCTTAAATGTACTTAAAAAAAAGTATATAGTAAAGCATGCTGCTAAAACATACTGAAATAACTAGTTTTTTTGCATACTAATGGACGTACGTATTCTTGACACTATGGAAAATGTATTATAAAGATAGGAATAGCTTGCACAGGGACACTTGATGCATAATAAACAACCTGGAATAAGCACATGTGATATACAATGTACATTCCCAGAAGAACCAGGCCACACTCTTGACTCCCTCTATTCAGAAAGTGGAAAAGCAAAGTCACACTGACTGCATATCTTCTGTTACCTGCTGCTAACTCACACAAAGGAATTCAAGGACTGGGCTATTGACCTCCTGTCCGAACAAGGAAGGGGGGGTGGGGGGTGGACAACAACTTTGTCAGTAGACAAATGCTGCCGATTAGCATAAAGTATTCCCAGAGTATAACAAAGTATTCAAAGCTGTATATAACTGGATGCATAGTTAAACTGTAACTCAAACCAGACACCATGTCATTTATATACCAATGCAGAACATTCGATAAATGTACATGTTCGATCACAATTTCAAGAAAGGCTCCTCTGAAATCGATTATACAATACACACAAAATCACAATGTGAGAAATAAACCAATGCAGTTCAAGAAATGGGAGCACTAACTTTTAGGTTGGCCATGGAGGAGCCAGTTTTATTTGTTCAACCAGTGGGTTGAAGGAAAAAGAACGACCCGATTACCCCATCCACACATTAGAGGTGGATAGGGGAATCTTCCCTGCTGTGTCTTTGTATTCCAACAGCAGGAAGAAGACCCAGCTGTCAGAATACACTGATCAGTGCTGCAATCTATAGCCTGCAGCAATGACCCTTTGGAAATTTTCCAACAGGGTGGTTGAGAAGACAATGGGTAGATCAACTTCTCTTCAACTCAGTGCCCATACATGGATAAAAATTCAGCCAGTCTGTTGATAACCTGACAGTTTATAAAAGACCCCTTCTAGAAATAGCTTTAGGGCTCATTCACACTTGGCTGTTTTACCAACGCTTGCCAAACACCCCTATAGTGTTCGGCAAGCGTTGGGCCAACGTTTGCGGAGCGTTTAACGCTCCGCAAACGCCGCATTTGCGATTTAACGGCGGTTGCTAGGCATTTGCCGGGCGTTAAAAACACCCCACAAATGCCTATAATGCAGTTTGAATGGTGTTACCGCTCCGCAAACGTCGCACCCAAAAACGCACCATGTTATTTAAAGGCAACCCTGTATGTCTGCTAAAGAGCAGCACGTTTTACCTGAGGGTTGGGAAATGTGTATGAGAAGCATGCGTTTCCTGATCCACATATGTAGTGAACCAAGCCAGCTATTTCTTTTCACTTTCTGCCAGCAAGGTCCTGCATACATTTCAGTATGGTGTACATAAGACCCAGGATATAAAACATCTTTATCTGGAAAACAAAGAATACAAAAATTATGTATTCAGAGACAGCTCCATGACACAACTCAAAACAATGTATCCAGTTAAAGCAAAAAACCACACACACAGGAAAAACAATTGGCATACATCTATCCCTTAATTCACACCTGACATTTGCAATGCTAATCTTCTGGGTATTCCCAAGATATTTTACAATGGTTAAAAAGAGGCAAAGGAACACATTCTAATGCAAAGATGGGAGTATAACCAGCAGGGCTGCTTGGAAACACCTTGGACAGGAGGGGGTATATAACCAATGATGAATCACAAAGGAGAAACCCACTGTTCAGTTGGATAAGAACACTCACCTACACATACATATGTTAATGCAGCGTTTAGCATGAACAGCTGGCATTGTGAAACAAAACAAAAGTTAACATCTACACACAAAGTTAATTAAAAAAAAAAGTAATCCTGACAAACCTATACATCTCACCTTCTTACACTGCACAGACTGTTAATTGATTTTTCCTATTAGCACATTCTTCTGGTGTACACTATAAAGCATCTGCTTA